ATTTTTTTTTTTTTTGATCAAATACAACTAGTGCTATTGATATATGCAAATTAGACTTAGAGAAATTTTTTATTTTTTGGTAATATATTTTCTGTAAATTCGGTCACAAATTGAAAGATGGAAAAATATTATTCAATTATATAGATTAATTTTATTGCTATTATGACCTATGATTTGTCTAATAAGATAATTAGGTATTTGAATTTTATTTCTCACTTATTTTTTTTTTCTCATTCACCATTAAGGTTGATAGTCGAACAAATTAAAATCAAATCTAAAAAATTGTTTAGTTTTAATTCATTTAAAAAATGAACCGAACTTGAACCAACTCAAAACAAACTGAGTCTGAATATTTACAAATAAACGAGTCGAGTCTATTGAGTTTGAAGCGAGTCCGTCATACTCGTTTTCTAAAGGAACTTAAAAAATTACTCAAATTTGACTAATTTAAAAAACGAGCCGAATTTAAACGAATTAAACTTGAACAATATTTTACTATAGTGTGTATCTTCTGCATGGGAGGAGTGTGATAGATAAAAATAAAGAAAAAATTATTTTGGAGATAATTTGAATTGCTTAAAGAGTTCATTTATGTGGTTTATTTTGGCTTGACTCATCATAAATATAATTTCAAGCTCAATATAAAACCCACTAAAGGACTATAAATTATTGAAAAACATAGAATATACGGAAACATTGATAGCATAATTGAACATCATGGTCACCTGACCGTTATTCTATCCACTCCCATGTCCCATCAATAATGGAAATAGCTAGGAACACAGACAAATTGACCATTTTAACCTTCTAGAATGACAAAACCATATGCAGTAGGCCAGTACACATTATCCAACTAAACGACCTACATAAACATAAATCAGATACCATGGACCCACCACCAGCAACGGATAGGATCAACTAATGATACATATCGGACAACTATAAAATCAAGGGGAAAAGTTCACCCATGCATGGTAAAAATGAATAACAGCATTCAAAGCAAAAAAGTATGTAGTATTATAATTTAATATTGTTTTAAAATTTTAATCTGGCATGTCATGTTATAATTTAAAGGAATTGATTTTAATTTTTAAATTCAATTAAATTATTGTACCCAAAAAAAAAATAACATATCTTATTCAAAGGGGTGTAAGATTTTAACTAGATTGAGAAAACAAACAAATAATCCTCANATTTAATATTGTTTTAAAATTTTAATCTGGCATGTCATGTTATAATTTAAAGGAATTGATTTTAATTTTTAAATTCAATTAAATTATTGTACCCAAAAAAAAAAAATAACATATCTTATTCAAAGGGGTGTAAGATTTTAACTAGATTGAGAAAACAAACAAATAATCCTCGCTTCTTGTATAATGAACAAATTGTCAAGGATTTGAGGTGGATAAGTAAAACAAAATTACAAAGAAAAGACTCTGTGCTTTACGCTTAAGTTATACCATCTTCTAGGTAGGAGTGTAACTTGAGCGGATTGGATAGTCAACCCTAACCCAACCTTAGGTATATAACTTTCAACCTTAACCTTATCTCGGGTTGATAAACTCAACCCAAACACTGTTCGAGTTTAATTCGGANAAAAGACTCTGTGCTTTACGCTTAAGTTATACCATCTTCTAGGTAGGAGTGTAACTTAGGCGGATTGGATAGTCAACTCTAACCCAACCTTAGGTATATAACTTTCAACCTTAACCTTATCTCGAGTTGATAAACTCAACCCAAACATTGTTCGAGTTTAATTCGGACAGGCTTCAGTTGAATTCAAATTAATAATTTCAGATTGATTTTGGGTTATTTTACATGCTGATTTTGGGTTAATGTTCTAAACCTGATACATAATATTTAAATAATTTAACAACCAACAACTTCAAATATAACACAAATATATTACATAATTTAACAACTAACAACCAGTTTAACAGAACACAAACATAACATTCAAATATATTACATAACATTCAAAAATTGTATTTATATAATAATAATTCGGGTTAAAAATCGATTGTTAATTTGGGTTGAGCCCGATTTTAATATTCAGGTTCTATCCGTGAACCCGAGGGGTCAACCTGAGGCCCGCCCAAATTAATTTCGAGTTGAGATTTTTTGATCCAAACCTATCCAAGTATTAAAAATCCTTATTCAATACCTAATTTTTTCGAATTGGGCTCGAATTATNTTGAGCCCGATTTTAATATTCAGGTTCTATCCGTGAACCCGAGGGGTCAACCTGAGGGCCGCCCAAATTAATTTCAGGTTGAAATTTTTTGATCCAAACCTATCCAAGTATTAAAAATTCTTATTCAATACCTAATTTTTTCGAATTGGGCTCGGATTATCCAACCCAAATTACCCCCTACTTCTACGGTGTCACTCATTGATCGTACATGGTAGTACACATTTTTTAACCAAATCTTTCTTAATGCAGAAATCTTTTTAGACTGGTTTTCTTATTTGTCAATTATTCAAATCCCATGTTTCTAATATATGCCTACAATTTATGTGATTTCCTTATTGGCTGCGTAGCACCACTTCTGAACCAAGAGCTTGTCTTTGAGATACCGAAAACAAGCAGTGGACAAGTCCTTAGTAAGTATGCCTGTTACCTGATCAACAATGTGTATATAACAAACATCGAGTTCCTTGTTAACTACTTTTTCACGAATGTAGTGGTAATCCATTTCAATATATTCTGTGCAAACGTGAACATATTAATAAATTTCATTGTTTGATAGTTTGAAATTGATTTTTCAATTGCATGATTCGAGTGTGGGGCACAGAAACATATCATTTCACAAGTAACTTTCAAACATCATGAGAGGTGGATAGGTGAGCCACAATAGACAACACAGTGGACATAAGAGTGGCATTAATCTAACTAAGCTAAGCAAAGATTGATCTTTTTGTTGTCAACCAACATAATCTTTGTTAACAGTGGTGCTTAGTTTGCCATTGGTGCCTTCTAAAAATATAGCATGACAAGGTTTTGTTTCGTTAACATAGCCAAAAAAATTCATGCTTTGAGGAGAGGAATGAATTGAGCAAGCCTTAGCATATAGTTTATCCGATCAAGTTTAATGGACACTCCGTTGGAGATATTAACATAGGGAGAAGAGCTGGATGTATTAGAAATCGTGAAGGATCCGGGAAAAAAAAATTTGTTGTGCGACTAATGCTCTGATATCATAAAAGAATATCCAACAAGAGTAATCGAATTTTTTTGGAAAACTTTTTCATCTCTTTTTGTGCACTTAAATTTAATTATATTTTATTTTTAATGATAAAATTTAAAAATGTTACATAATCATAACATGTCCAAGTTTTATAATCTCGACGTTATATTGTGTGTTAAACTTATACCTTATCTCTATATAATCTTGTACAACCTATGTATGGTTTTTCTTTAATACAGTACCGTTAATTCTGTAATCGATTTTGTACGGAATTTTTGAAAGAGAGATGTCGGCGAAGCGCAAGGCCAAAGATCGGATCAAGGGCTCCTCCTTTTAATAGTATCATTTAGTATAGAGATCCATTTGCAGATCCGTGTCCACAGTCCATACTATGGGAAACGGGAATGGGACAGCACAGGAGCTTATAAATAAGAGTCATTACTCTATAAATAATTAAAAAAAAAGGCCACCCGTTGACTTACTTGCACTTGCCGGTCACCTAGACGTAGTAAAACCAAACACACCATTTAAATATTCACCTCGGAAAAACACCCCCTCTGCCCCCTCCCCCCCCCATCAAATGGTCGTTGAAACTAGAAAGAGCGAGCAGAGGTAAAGAGAGACAAATATGGAGCTTCTGCGCTGATCTTTATTGGGTCTGTATCGAGAAAAACGACGCAAAGGAACCAACCATAAAAGATCAGAGGCTTTCTTTGTCTTGTTCATCAACTCTTTGTTGGTTTTTTGTGAGGTATTGTGTTTGTGTATCTATATGGTTTTTGTTTTCCAAGTTTTCAAGTCTCAAATCTATTAAACCGCCCTCTTTCCTGTACATCTTCATCATCATCGCTATAATCAACAAGTTGAGTATATATTTGAAGAGAGAGATAGCAAAGCAAAGAAAGGCAAATTGCTGGACTTACAGAGATTGTGGCAATGGTTTTGGGATGGCGAAGAGCGTTTTGTACATCGATCCCACGGCCACGAGATCGAGAGCCCAAGGAGGTGAAAGAGAAGCAAGAACANCTAGCATGACAAGGTTTTGTTTCGTTAACATAGCCAAAAAAATTCATGCTTTGAGGAGAGGAATGAATTGAGCAAGCCTTAGCATATAGTTTATCCGATCAAGTTTAATGGACACTCCGTTGGAGATATTAACATAGGGAGAAGAGCTGGATGTATTAGAAATCGTGAAGGATCCGGGAAAAAAAAATTTGTTGTACGACTAATGCTCTGATATCATAAAAGAATATCCAACAAGAGTAATCGAATTTTTTTGGAAAACTTTTTCATCTCTTTTTGTGCACTTAAATTTAATTATATTTTATTTTTAATGATAAAATTTAAAAATGTTACATAATCATAACATGTCCAAGTTTTATAATCTCGACGTTATATTGTGTGTTAAACTTATACCTTATCTCTATATAATCTTGTACAACCTATGTATGGTTTTTCTTTAATACAGTACCGTTAATTCTGTAATCGATTTTGTACGGAATTTTTGAAAGAGAGATGTCGGCGAAGCGCAAGGCCAAAGATCGGATCAAGGGCTCCTCCTTTTAATAGTATCATTTAGTATAGAGATCCATTTGCAGATCCGTGTCCACAGTCCATACTATGGGAAACGGGAATGGGACAGCACAGGAGCTTATAAATAAGAGTCATTACTCTATAAATAATTAAAAAAAAAGGCCACCCGTTGACTTACTTGCACTTGCCGGTCACCTAGACGTAGTAAAACCAAACACACCATTTAAATATTCACCTCGGAAAAACACCCCCTCTGCCCCCTCCCCCCCCCATCAAATGGTCGTTGAAACTAGAAAGAGCGAGCAGAGGTAAAGAGAGACAAATATGGAGCTTCTGCGCTGATCTTTATTGGGTCTGTATCGAGAAAAACGACGCAAAGGAACCAACCATAAAAGATCAGAGGCTTTCTTTGTCTTGTTCATCAACTCTTTGTTGGTTTTTTGTGAGGTATTGTGTTTGTGTATCTATATGGTTTTTGTTTTCCAAGTTTTCAAGTCTCAAATCTATTAAACCGCCCTCTTTCCTGTACATCTTCATCATCATCGCTATAATCAAAAAGTTGAGTATATATTTGAAGAGAGAGATAGCAAAGCAAAGAAAGGCAAATTGCTGGACTTACAGAGATTGTGGCAATGGTTTTGGGATGGCGAAGAGCGTTTTGTACATCGATCCCACGGCCACGAGATCGAGAGCCCAAGGAGGTGAAAGAGAAGCAAGAACACAGCAACACAAGTACTCCAAAGCTCAGCTCCAAATTCGGGTTTTTCTCGAATCCATCAACGCCTCGAATTCAATCTCAGCCCGTTTCAACCCCTAGCCTCCGGTGTCGAACCACCACAACTACAACAGCACCACCAACGGCCACCGTTCCATCACCGTCAGTCCCTGAAAGTCCAAGGCTCCAATGCAAGACCACAAAAAGCCCAAGATTGTTCCACCGGTCCAATCCATCCTCTCCTCGCTCTCCTTCCACTTTCTCTCTCCTCAAATCCACTCTGCGTCTCTCCAAAGTAAGAAAATTAACTCTCCCTCCGTACAAACCCCCCAAAAAAACAAAACAAAACAAAACAAAAAAAATTCTCTCTTCTCTCTCACAGACGCATCTTTTAACTTTTGTACAGTAGAATTTGGTTACTATCGAGTTAAGACTCGTAAAGATTTTGGCATGATGAACTTTTCTGTCTTCTCTTTATTGTGTTAGCAGAGTAGATGTGGAATATGTTTACAGAACCTGAAGACGGGCCAGGGAACGGCCATATTGACGGCGGAGTGCTCTCATAGCTTCCACTTCCGGTGCATCGCCACACACGTGACCAAGGAAAGCAATCTCACGTGCCCTGTCTGCAGCTCTACCTGGAAAGAAATGCCTCTACTCTCCATTAATCACAACAACCAGAACCAAAAACCAGAGGAGGTAGTTGAAGAAGAGAAGAGAGAACTGACAGCTACAGTAAATATCAAAACAAAGAATGAGAGCAAGCTGTCTTTAAGGACTGCCTTGAAAGTCTACAACGATGATGAGCCTTTGATGTTACCGGTTACCGGAGCTGGATTCAATCCGATTCCAGAGTCTGATGAAAATGAAGACCAAGAAAATAATGAGGAATTTCAAGGATTTTTCGTTAACGCCAATGATAGTCCAATTGCTGATTCAATTATGAACTACAGAAATGTGGAGGTTAGATTGCTGCCAGAGGCGGCGGTGGTGTCGGTAGGTCGGAGAAGCGAGACATATGCTTTAGTTTTGAAAGTGAGAGCTCCGGCGCAACTGTCTGAAACCTCACGGAGAGCTCCGATCGATTTGGTGACGGTGATTGACGTCAGCGGAAGCTTGAACACGGAGAAAATACAGATGATGAAACGCGCAATGAGACTCGTAGTTTCGTCTCTGACTTCATCTGATCGCCTCTCCATTGTTGCATTCTCTGCGAGCTCGAAGAGGTTGTTGCCGTTGAGAAGAATGACCAGCACTGGTCGGAGATCGGCCCGTCGGATTGTGGACGCGATCGTTGCGTTGGATGGAACAACGGCGAGTGCGAATGACGCTCTAAAAAAGGCCGCCAAGGTGCTCGAAGATCGACGGGAGAGAAACCCCTTGGCCAGGATCATACTCCTATCGGACGGTCACGCTGAGAGATCCTCCACCACTCAGCCGCGTGGATCGTATCTTGTTTCCACCACGAGCATTACTCACTTGGAGATTCCCGTTCATTCTATCAGCTTCAACCAATTCAGCGCGTGCCAGCACTCGCAATCTGAAGACGGCTTTGCCAAAAGTGTCGGAGGTCTGTTAAACGTCATCGTTCAAGACCTTCGGATTCAGCTAGGGTTTGTCTCCGGTTCAGCTCCGGCTGAGATTTCAGGGGTTTACTCATACACGGGTGAACCGGTTTTACTCGGATCAAGTTCAATCCGGGTAGGTGATTTCTACGCCGGAGAAGAAAGAGAACTGTTGATCGAACTGAAAGTTCCGTCATCGGCAATTGGGGCCCATTATTTACTGGCCGTCCGATGCTCTTACAAAGACCCGTCAACTCAGGAACTATTTTACGGTAAAGAACAACCCCTCTTGGTCCCACGACCACACGCCGTTAGATCATCGACCCCAAGCATCGAACGGCTGAGATACTCTTTCTTTTCGACACGCGCCATAGCCGAATCCCGGAGATTAGTAGAGCGTGGGGACTTAAGCGGCGCGCGTCACTTGTTGGCTTCGGCTAAGGCTTTGTTGTTTCAGTCAACTTCGGCTTTGGCTGTTGAGTTCGTCCGCGGCTTGGATGCTGAGCTGTCAGATATTCATTGGAGAAAACAAAATCACATTGAGCAGATCCAACGGCAGAGGACAAATGATGACAGGCAAAGAGAAATTAATTACGTGGATGAGAAGAGTGAAGCGCTTACGCCGACATCGGCGTGGAGAGCTGCGGAGAGGCTGGCTAAAGTGGCGATTATGAGGAAGTCGATGAATAGAGTCAGCGACTTACACGGCTTTGAGAACGCCAGATTTTGAGTTCCTGGTCTTATACAATAGGGAAATATAATAAGAAATGAAAAAAAAAGTGGGCTCCACCCTGCATAATAGTGACNCAGCGACTTACACGGCTTTGAGAACGCCAGATTTTGAGTTCCTGGTCTTATACAATAGGGAAATATAATAAGAAATGAAAAAAAAAGTGGGCTCCACCGTGCATAATAGTGACATGCAGTACCCGACGGTTCGGCGCTTTCTGCAGAGAGAGAGAGAGAGAGAGAGAGAGCAGTGGCCAATCCACACTATTGAACATGATAGTGTGATTGATTAGGCAGTGGGGGAGAGTGGGAGCTCTCTGCTTTTGTTTTTATTTATTCTCATCCTCATTATAATTTATAAGTTTTATAATTTATTCCGCATAATGTTAAATGAAAAATAGAATGAATAAATTAGAGTGAAGGAAAAGGGGAACAGAACGATGGTGGGGGAGGAGGGGGGGAGGTGTTGCTTCTGGTTTAACTAGAGTTTACAATGTCTTGTATGTTGTTTGGTTGTTGGATCTCATCATTAGAATGTTTATATGCATGTAGCAAATGAACACTTGTTTTTTTCCTTATGTTTGTTTGCAGTGGTATTCCAATACTTGCATTGAATTCAACTTTTTTTGTTTAATGCAAATTCTATTGAAGATTATTTTATTGTTTTGGGATGAGCTGAACCAATAACAAATGCGTATTCAGTGCACCTAGGAAAGATTTGAGACCTAATATCATCATGTTAATGACGAGGTTTAACATTGGTTTAAATCCACAAACAGCTCAATGGTATTATTAATCAATTAGATCAGCCATTTAGATCACATAGATAGATCAAAGTAGTATTATTGCTTTTTCAATCATACGCTGGGATTTTGATATGAATGAACCTCCACTTGCTGCCTGCTTTCAAACTCAAAAAAATTTGCTTCCACTATTGCCATTATTATTGTCCAGCTTTGCTTTCATATTGAGGTGGTGTACATAGCATTGTTGGTAAATTATATGCTGAGGATTTATTAACTAACGCTGCACTAAGTTCCAGAAACTTGGTTGAACACGACTCGGTTTTCTCAATCAGTCCACCCTCTATTCAACTGAATTAGCTAAAAAAACAAAGGAATTAAAAAAGAACCGATCTTCCTAACAAATGGCTAAATATTTTCCCAAATAGTAAAAACTTTGTTCTTTCAAGGTGCTTATGCCTAATGTAAATTACTTTTCTTGTTTTTTAGTTTAACGGTCAAGGGTGTCTCAATCAACTTACGCACATCTTGATTAATGTCATTCGCAATTCGGACAAGAACAGATCATCTACGTTGAGATTAAAGTATTCATGAGAAATAAATTCCTCATAATTTAGTTCTAAGAGATTGCCAAGATTTGAACTCATAATATCTGAATTTACAGATTGTTTCTATTACCACTTAAGCTACCCCTTAGGGTTGCCTAATATGAATTAGGGGAACCCAATGGATGTTGCCAAGGTTAAGTTTTGCGGAAAAAAAATATTTATTTATTACCATTATCAACGTTATTATATTTCATTTTAATAATAATGAGGTTTAGTCAAGGATTGATGACGACAAATTTCAAGGGTCAAGATTTAAGATTTGGAGGAGATATCCAAGACCAAGAGTCACTTTCAATTAGATGGAAAATTAAAAATTCATGAACCAACAAAGACAAATTATGGAACGAAGCTATCCACCGTTATATATTTTTAAACATTTCACATCCTAAATGAAAGTATAATCACATGCCTAGGATGTTGACCATGAAATAATGAAATTTCCAATAGTCTCGTGAAATGAGGAAAAAGAAAAAGGGTACTGTTAAGTACGAGTGCATTCAACGTTAACATGACTTTTAGCCACATGTTTGCGAAGTATAAGGCAAAGCAAAGAGAGACTAAAGCTTTTACAAGGACAAGTCTTCGTGAAAGAGAGGAAAAGGTGGAGAAGAGGACTAAGCATAGAAAAGTTGGATAAAAGATACTCTAATATGTATTTGGCTAGTCAGTGACTGAGTTCCATCACGCTTTTGGGTTCATGATGATTTCCCGAAATTGTGCAACTTTAAACCTTTGGTGGTACTAGGGGAAGGTCATCTTTATCTGCCACTTTCATATTAGTCCGATTACCATATTTCCATTTTCTACCGGACAATAAGATACACCTAAAAAGGCAGATCTTTCATTCCTGAGCCATGATATCTGATCCTCACGATAGTGTAGGCCGGCTAGCGCCTAATCTAAATNAAAACAAAGGAATTAAAAAAGAACCGATCTTCCTAACAAATGGCTAAATATTTTCCCAAATAGTAAAAACTTTGTTCTTTCAAGGTGCTTATGCCTAATGTAAATTACTTTTCTTGTTTTTTAGTTTAACGGTCAAGGGTGTCTCAATCAACTTACGCACATCTTGATTAATGTCATTCGCAATTCGGACAAGAACAGATCATCTACGTTGAGATTAAAGTATTCATGAGAAATAAATTCCTCATAATTTAGTTCTAAGAGATTGCCAAGATTTGAACTCATAATATCTGAATTTACAGATTATTTCTATTACCACTTAAGCTACCCCTTAGGGTTGCCTAATATGAATTAGGGGAACCCAATGGATGTTGCCAAGGTTAAGTTTTGCGAAAAAAAAATATTTATTTATTACCATTATCAACATTATTATATTTCATTTTAATAATAATGAGGTTTAGTCAAGGATTGATGACGACAAATTTCAAGGGTCAAGATTTAAGATTTGGAGGAGATATCCAAGACCAAGAGTCACTTTCAATTAGATGGAAAATTAAAAATTCATGAACCAACAAAGACAAATTATGGAACGAAGCTATCCACCGTTATATATTTTTAAACATTTCACATCCTAAATGAAAGTATAATCACATGCCTAGGATGTTGACCATGAAATAATGAAATTTCCAATAGTCTCGTGAAATGAGGAAAAAGAAAAAGGGTACTGTTAAGTACGAGTGCATTCAACGTTAACATGACTTTTAGCCACATGTTTGCGAAGTATAAGGCAAAGCAAAAGAGAGACTAAAGCTTTTACAAGGACAAGTCTTCGTGAAAGAGAGGAAAAGGTGGAGAAGAGGACTAAGCATAGAAAAGTTGGATAAAAGATACTCTAATATGTATTTGGCTAGTCAGTGACTGAGTTCCATCACGCTTTTGGGTTCATGATGATTTCCCGAAATTGTGCAACTTTAAACCTTTGGTGGTACTAGGGGAAGGTCATCTTTATCTGCCACTTTCATATTAGTCCGATTACCATATTTCCATTTTCTACCGGACAATAAGATACACCTAAAAAGGCAGATCTTTCATTCCTGAGCCATGATATCTGATCCTCACGATAGTGTAGGCCGGCTAGCGCCTAATCTAAATCTCTTTTTTTTTTTTTTGAATGATAAAATATTTGAATTAATTTATGTGCATATCGATTAATTCATCATGATTTGATTTAAAATTATCAAAATTCAAACTTAAGACATCTACATTTTCAGTTCACTTCTATTATCACTTAAGTTACCTTTAAGGTTAAACTTCACCGGTTCTATAGTGCACATGCACTTTATTGTATATTTTTTTCCGACCAAAAAAATATCTCAACTATTTTTTCCGTAAATTCGTAATAAAATGAAAATTCTAAATACATGTGATCCCTGTAACCAACTTGGGCCGGCTAGTGAACCTAGATTTCGAGATAATACCCATATAATCTTCTGATGGGATTCATCTCAAAGCATTCAACTTACTGGAAATCTAGCATTATATTCAAGGAAGTCTAATGTATCGTAAAAAGAAAAGCATGGTGACACGAAACACCAAAGTCTAAGTAACGAAGAATGAATACACCCATATTGCCCAAATTACCTGGCTTCCTCCAGTGAAAGGGGTAAGCTGAACTTCCATGGCTGTAAGAAGGGAGCTACAGCCTAAGGTTTGTTATTCTGTTCTCCTCCCATGCACCTGAAAGGGGCAAACAGGATATAAAAAAGTTAGCTATGAATGAACAGGAAAAAAGTCAATTTAGGATAAAGGCTTCATTCCTATACATGCTAACCAAACTCAAAAAAGACATAATTTGCCTCATTGCCTTNCTTTTTTTTTTTTTTGAATGATAAAATATTTGAATTAATTTATGTGCATATCGATTAATTCATCATGATTTGATTTAAAATTATCAAAATTCAAATTTAAAACATCTACATTTTCAGTTCACTTCTACTATCACTTAAGTTACCTTTAAGGTTAAACTTCACCGGTTCTATAGTGCACATGCACTTTATTGTATATTTTTTTCCGACCAAAAAAATATCTCAACTATTTTTTCCGTAAATTCGTAATAAAATGAAAATTCTAAATACATGTGATCCCTGTAACCAACTTGGGCCGGCTAGTGAACCTAGATTTCGAGATAATACCCATATAATCTTCTGATGGGATTCATCTCAAAGCATTCAACTTACTGGAAATCTAGCATTATATTCAAGGAAGTCTAATGTATCGTAAAAAGAAAAGCATGGTGACACGAAACACCAAAGTCTAAGTAACGAAGAATGAATACACCCATATTGCCCAAATTACCTGGCTTCCTCCAGTGAAAGGGGTAAGCTGAACTTCCATGGCTGTAAGAAGGGAGCTACAGCCTAAGGTTTGTTATTCTGTTCTCCTCCCATGCACCTGAAAGGGGAAAACAGGATATAAAAAAGTTAGCTATGAATGAACAGGAAAAAAGTCAATTTAGGATAAAGGCTTCATTCCTATACATGCTAACCAAACTCAAAAAAGACATAATTTGCCTCATTGCCTTCGAGTCCCAAGCTGCATTCCTTGTTAGTCATTTCAGCACAATCAGCTTGCCCTTTCATTGCACACGTGAATGTCCAAAGAATTCCTATTTACAACATCTAATCAAATAGTACACAACATACTAGTTTTCAAGCACCACCACCACCATCTATCGCCAGATACGGGCTACACTGCACATCATATCTTGTCAAAAGACATCAAGATTGAATGAGAGAGAGAGAGAGAGAGAGAGAGAGTAATTTGATACATGTCTGAATTTACATCACAAATGCAACTGCCTACACTGAGCTGCTTCAACCTCAGACGGGCAGTAAGGACACTTAAAAGGCCGTGTGCTATTGTTCTTTGACAGCTTTGTGATCGACTGCTTGCAGAGCACATGCCCGCAAGACAATAACATTGGCGGATTCTCTTCGCTCGCCTGGTCCCGACTCACCGGACATACAAAGAGCGAATGGAACTGAAATTCCCTGTCTAAATCCACTGGTACAGGTAATTGCTTTATAGACTGCCATTCTTGCTTCTTCCATATCATCACATTCATCAGCTTCAAGAAGGTTGGCAACCCTTGGACTCCTGCTGCAATTGTCATACTTAATGGGCTCTTGTAAGATTGACCCCAGAGATTGCAGAACTGCAGGGTTAGCTCCTCGGCCAATTCGTCCCAATGGGTGGGGGATAGTAGGTCAGAATAAGGTGATGAATCAAGCCTTCCAGCCCAAAGTAGGCAGGCCATAAGCTTTTGGATTTCAGCCATATGTTTGGTAGCAAATGGTGTTAGAAAAGTTCTGGCATACTTCAGGGCTTCCTCCCTCCCTCTCTTCTGTAGAATTTCTACAAACTGCAAACGATGAAGTTTCAACTCAATGTCCAATCCATTTTGCCCGAGTTTCTCATGGTTAGTGGTAGCCCAGTTCAGTGCTGGTTCTAGGTTGACAGATTTCATGGCTTCCAGTATATGGTACATTTCCACGAAAGGAGATTTCTTTTCAGCAGCTTCTGCTTCCTGAGCCTCATTTAGGAAACAATCACCAAGATCAAACAGGCCCTCTCTATAGAAATGGCTGGCAATTATCTGGTTCACCGTGTGAAAATCAAAATCAACATATCTGTAAGCCTTTGATATATCAGGATTGAAGGATTTCTCCAGGAGCTTTGGGTACTTGCTCAATGCAATGTTCAATTCCTTCTGTGTGTCTTCCAGCTTGCTGAGTGGAGCCATCTCCTTCAACTTGGTTTTCAGTTCAGCAATAATCAACTTATGATCAGCTTTGTGGGAATCACCATGAACTGATTGTAATCTTGATAACGCCTGTTCAATTTCTTGATGGATCTGTTCTATTACTTCTTGAGACTCGGAAGAGGACAGCTTTTGCTTCTTTGTAACACGATCAAATGCATCTCTGATGCTATTTAGGTCCATTTTCCAATTGTTTACACTCCTTGATTTTATCTGCGGTACTTTCAAAAAGACGATCACCTATGGGGAATGGAAAAAAACTCGGTAAGCTTCCAGCTGATTTCTTGCAAATGACATCAACAGATAAACATGCACAGAACTAAAAGGATCAATTTCATAATCAGCAAATGCTAGAAGAACTAAGCTTCAAAAAGTATATTATCTACGTAAGGCAGCACACTGCAACTAAAACACCTAAAGGAATTTTTCGAAACATGTTGTCAACATATTAGCCAACCACGAGTGAATTACCAATGGCACCAATATATGAAAAAGGACCAAGACAATTTCAAATCAACACAGTGGCTAAAAGAAAATTTCTGTTCAGAGTGCTCCTCAAAAACAGTGTGGCAGCTGAATTTCAAGATGCTGAACAACAAAAATAAATGCCAAGAAACTCAAGGTCTTGATAAGGACTATCAAGTGTTAGTCCATGTTAAGAGTATAAATTTTTAATTTACATCCTTTCTAACAGCTTAAATTTTGAGAGTAGATGATAATTTAACGTGGAGCTGGATCTTGGGTAGTTTGGTGGACCAAGTTTCTCACCCAGTTGAATTCTTCGGTTTGTTTATCTGTCTCTTCCAGCTCCGTTCCAATTCTGTTCGTTAGGCCAAGTGTGAGACTCGTGCATGAGGGAGGGTGTGAAGATCTCGCCTTGAAAGACCAAGTGCACCCAAGACTGGTTTGTATGCTTAAAGGGCTACTCCACTCATAGTCAATTAGTTTTGTCTTGAATGCAGTAACATAGTATCAGAGTAAGAAGTCCTGTGTACAAATTTCTCCACCACACTGATTATAAAAAAATTTCACGTGTTAGTCCCAAAATCTAACCTCAATGTGAGAGAAAGTGTTAAAATATCAATACGTAAGGTACACACTCTCTAACATCTTAAGGTTTTAGAGTAGATGCTGATTTACCAGTCCAAAAGAAAGTTGGAAATCCCAACCATGATCCACTACTCGTTATGCATAAAACAGGCACAACACTTCTAAATTTTCTCTTTATTTTGCTAGTTTCCCACTCTTTATCATTATAAACAAACAGATTTTATCCCTCCTTGTATTATTGATTCAATGTAATCTACTCATTAACGAAGTTTATTGGAGATAGTAATCTTCAGCACAATAAGGCTATGAATTAAAGAGGCCAATTCCATTCTCAATCGTCAAATGTCTATTACAGGGCATACCAATACTATTGTTCCAGTGCTAGTCAAATTTATTGCATTGTAATTATACACATCACTAGCAAGAACAAGTGAAGACTNTGTCTATTACAGGGCATACCAATACTATTGTTCCAGTGCTAGTCAAATTTATTGCATCGTAATTATACACATCACTAGCAAGAACAAGTGAAGACCNTGAAAGACCAAGTGCACCCAAGACTGGTTTGTATGCTTAAAGGGCTACTCCACTCATAGTCAATTAGTTTTGTCTTGAATGCAGTAACATAGTATCAGAGTAAGAAGTCCTGTGTACAAATTTCTCCACCACACTGATTATAAAAAAATTTCACGTGTTAGTCCCAAAATCTAACCTCAATGTGAGAGAAAGTGTTAAAATATCAATACGTAAGGTACACACTCTCTAACATCTTAAGGTTTTAGAGTAGATGCTGATTTACCAGTCCAAAAGAAAGTTGGAAATCCCAACCATGATCCACTACTCGTTATGCATAAAACAGGCACAACACTTCTAAATTTTCTCTTTATTTTGCTAGTTTCCCACTCTTTATCATTATAAACAAACAGATTTTATCCCTCCTTGTATTATTGATTCAATGTAATCTACTCATTAACGAAGTTTATTGGAGATAGTAATCTTCAGCACAATAAGGCTATGAATTAAAGAGGCCAATTCCATTCTCAATCGTCAAATGTCTATTACAGGGCATACCAATACTATTGTTCCAGTGCTAGTCAAATTTATTGCATTGTAATTATACACATCACTAGCAAGAACAAGTGAAGACCCATGGCACTCCAGATGAGCCAAAACCGCAATAATGCACCCTCACCCTTAAAAAACTTTAGACAAAGAGAAGTTAACATGCAAATGAAGTGGAATGTTAAAATTGATAAGAGAAGAATACAACCTCATTATCTGATAATTAAAGAAAAGAGGAAAAAGGTAATTACCTAATCAAATTAGAGATTTCGGAAGAAACCTGCAAAGAGGGCAAAACAAAAATGACAAACAATAAATAGAATTGGTTATTTATATACATTATTATCCTACTGAAAATATTGTCAAGACTATGCAAAAAATTAATAATAATAACAAAAAAAAAGGGCATCTAAATTGATCTGAATTGGTACTACCTGCAAAAGGTTTATTCCAAATGAAAAACCCCAAATGGATGAAGAGCAGAATTGACATGAATCGTACTTTCTGGTTACTGATGGTTTTGATTTAATGGTTTGAACTTTGAAGTAATCCACAAGATATAGGATGTGTTAGAAGCACACGGAGAATCCACCGCGCCAACATCTAGCATATGTGCAGATCATTGCTGTCTAAAATATTTACATACAAGTTCATTTTTTCTTTAAAAGAGGCCAGATGTCATGGTGACGTACATAAATAAGACACGGTCAACTATGACTACAAGTTTTATAATCTATACTATGTAAAAAACTAATCAATGGCATCAAATGAATAAGGTTTCTGAAGTGTATAGGCATAGATAAGACAGAATCAAATAATTCACACTAGTTAGCATAAAGGAAAGATGATATGTCATCACTGGTGAGTTAACAATAAAACATAAAAGACCATAGTTGGGAGTAAACTAATATCTGCTAGCATTCCATCCAATTTTAGACTATCAAAATGAATTAAACAGAAACCTAAATTCTGAAGCTGCAGTTACTTTGGACGTATGTTACACATCAAACAAACTACATTGTTCAAACATATAGCTTTGTTAAATCCTTCCTTTCCTAACAATATTTCTCTAACCTAGAAATTCAAATTAAAGAAGAAGATTAACTTTGTTTGCGTTGTTCTATAGATAAACTTAAAAAATCAAAATGAAGCAGAATTAAAAAAAAAACTCTAGCCATGACCATTAGATAAACAAACATCACACATGAGCAATTCTGATCAATCATCATCTTCTTCTTGACAATTTTCTCGGAAGAATCACTTCAATTTCCTCCTTATATGGTCATTTCAACTGCTTAACTGCCTTTGATGGTCTTGCTATATATACATAATAGAATGTAAGATAATAGAGTTGAAGAGTTGGACTTACAAGAAGGAGAAATTTTTTTAATTGATTCAATTTTCGAGTATGAGTTGAGACACCTATTAATCCTCTCTCGTGGCTAAAGTATGTTTCATGAAGGCCTATTATCGGGTCAAAGCAATGTGTACTGCTCAACCTTAGCAGTCCCCAAAAACAACATTTAATTCAGTTGGTCGTCTGCTTTATTTTTTTGTGGCTTTTGAAGCTGAAAGAAAACTCACAGTAGCAGATACATAAGGATCCTAAATTACCTAAACATTCAGATTTTTTTTTTTCCTCTGAAATTAAAATCTTTGTATGCTAATGATTAACATCTTGGTAATAGAAGATTAAAAATCAATCCAAACAATTCTGGATTATGCGGAGATTAAGCAAAACAGCAGCAACTGCTTCTACTTCAATTCAGACCAGAAAACAAAACAAAACAAATTAAGTAAAAAATTAAAGCACATCGCCAATTCATACACATACTAACTAACAGCTCATCTAAAGGAGCGAATTAAAAGATCAAGAAACGAAATACAATCAAAATACTATATATACCATAGCATTCAAGCTTACTAACCGAACAATCCAATTTATATAGAAAAAGCCCAAAAAAAAAAAAATCAGATCGAGGTCGTGTAGAAGATAGAGTGACGAAGAATAGATCGATTTCTTAATTAAAGATGATTTACAAAGACACAGAATCTCATCTTACCAGAAGAGAACCAATAAGGGAGTCTGTATGGAACAATGCAGTCTGAGCAGTTTTCTTCTGTGAAGAAGTCGTGAGAAATGAGAACTAGAATGCTTGGGAGGAAGAGATTTATCTGATTTCTGAGGAAGAAACGGGCTTTAATCTGTTGATTCAGTTCTTGTCTCTTTCTTTACGGAAGCACCCAAGGGGCAACCCCACGGTACCCCAAAAAAAATGGGTAATTGTATCCTGGATTATAACTTTTTAATGGTAAAATTATATATTTTAAAGAAAAAGTTACAATTATGCAAACCATAAGCCAGAATAGATTATGGACCCATAATTGACCATAATTTTCTTTTTTGAACAAGTTGTAATTTTTACCTTGAGTTTATAAATTGATCTTTAAAAGTTATAATTTCAGTATTAATTACAACCTCTCATGATCAATCACATCCATTAAAAATTATAATCTACACTTTNTGAGTTTATAAATTGATCTTTAAAAGTTATAATTTCAGTATTAATTACAACCTCTCACGATCAATCATGTCCATTAAAAATTATAATCTACACTTTAAAAAAATTATAATTTATCTTTAAAAAATTAAAATTTTTGTAGCGGTACCATAACTTTTCCTGGACCCAAGAGTCATGAAGTAGGTGTACACTCACCCAAATTTTTATTCTAGTCCTCATATTTCATCTTTTTTTTTTATAAATTCAAATGTCATATTTTTCAAAGTGTAATGCTAGATGGACATTATTTAGTAACTTTATCATTTGAATTTATTCTCCTTTAAATTTTCTTGTGTCTATTAGAATATATTTATATTAAATCAAAATTTTTACTCAAATTTTGACTAAACTTTTGAGCAAAAATTTAAATTAAGATTAAAAATGTCCTAAAAAATACAAAAGTCCCCCCTTGATATTGATTACTAATTAAATTATTTTAAACAAATCATAAAATATCTCGACTACTCATTACTCCCCAAACACACGACCAAGCATTATTTACTCCCCAAACTCGGCCTTCAACCCCCACCTCCATGTTCACAAATGTAGTTCATTTTTNAAGCCGAAATCCTTCAAGTGGAGGGATGAGATCCGTAGCGATTTCTACCCCTTACAGCAACAATGGACCACCACCGTCCTAAATTGTAAGGGGCCAGGACAGTCGGCAGATATCAAAGAATATCAACCATTGTGTGGAACAAGCTTAAATACCTTGTAAAAAAAAAATTGTACTTCTCACCAAATTAGNCCCCCATATATTCAACTTCCACATCCATTCCACTAGTAATTTCTTTTTCTTTCTTTGATGCTAAATCTCATATTCTAGAACTTAAGTGATTGTCATTACATTTAAGTGGCTCACTAACCAACCCACGAGAGAATTTCACATTTTTTTCTTTTGTTTTGGTGCTTATTAGACACATTTTTAATATTTTACTATGGCAACAATGGACCACCACCGTCCTAAATTGTAAGGGGCCAGGACACTCGGCAGATATCCAAGAACATCAACCATTGTGTGGATTCAACGCTAACCAGAAGAAATAGTTTATTTTCTCCAATTTGAACCCACTAGTGTAACTCTTTAAGGGTTCTTCAATTACTGAGTCTGCCTTTTAATAATTCAGAAGTCTTATATTCAATATTTTTTATACCCCTAAAGACCTATCACCCTTGTTACTCAGAAGACATATTCTAAATCCATTCGGGCTACAATTACCAATATCCGAGTTTAAAAAAATAATCGACACAAACTTAAATACCTTAAAAAAAAAAATTGTACTTCTCACCAAATTAGCCACAATTGGTATCCTTCACCCTTTGCTTAAATAATCTTCACCCTTTGCACCAAATTAGCCACGATTGGTATCCTTCACCCAGATGAGGAATTAGTTCACATGATCATATCCTTCACCCTTTGCATCTGGTCGGAATCGAGAGGTGATGAGAGGGCTGGTGGCTTAGGTTGTCCACCTCCATAGCAATTTCGGGTGTTTTAGTATAGGCATTTAAGAACTACGTACGAAAATATATAGATTACAAAGCCTTTGTACCAGTACAATCGGAGGAAGGACCCTGCAAAACCTGTCACGGGTAAACCTAGAGCAGAAAGAGACTATTGCTTCAAAGCCAGTTTGGTAGCTTTGATTATAAAAAAGATAGTATCAACAAGAATTATTAAATGTTCATGGAACACGGCCAACAGGACACCTGCATACCATATCATTACCCATCATTACCCTCTGAACGGCTCTTTGTATGATGTAACATTAAAGCCTCGCAAAACTTCTTTCTATTCAATTCTCCAAAGCAATCCTGGCCGTTAAGAGGTTGGAGCCCCCACATTCTCTTATTTGAGTTGGTGCTATATCGGTTTCAAGGTTTATTCAGACGAAGAATGGTTTCATTCAAAAGGACTTTGGACAAATAGCTGTACAAAAAAAGAATCTTCCAAAGTAAGGTAAGTTGCAGATGAGGAATGAGAAAAAGTGCGAGATACTGAAGNAGAGGTTGGAGCCCCCACATTCTCTTATTTGAGTTGGTGCTATATCGGTTTCAAGGTCTATTCAGACGAAGAATGGTTTCATTCAAAAGGACTTTGGACAAATAGCTGCACAAAAAAAGAATCTTCCAATGTAAGGTAAGTTGCAGATGAGGAATGAGAAAAAGTGCGAGATACTGAAGCTCAAGACAAAGTTAGGAAAAAAGAACTCAGGGAAAAAAAATGTCAATAAATGACAGCAAAAAAAACTACATCATTCAAAAAGGCAGAGACACCTATGAACTGTAATTTGAACAGATACACGTNGAACTCAGGGAAAAAAAATGTCAATAAATGACAGCAAAAAAAACTACATCATTGAAAAAGGCAGAGACACCTATGAACAGTAATTTGAACAGATACACGTAGTGCAGATCCAGATGTCCATTATTTTTTCGAGTTTTTTACACATTGAAAGATTTTAAATTTTTTATTTTATACGCTCAAATATTAAATTTTTCACNGTAGTGCAGATCCAGATGTCCATTATTTTTTCGAGTTTTTTACACATTGAAAGATTTCAAATTTTTTATTTTATACGCTCAAAGATTAAATTTTTCATATTGCACCATCAATATCAAAAGTGTTGTAAAGTGGCCCTTCTATTAGCTTCCGTTATTTTTTTTGTCAAAAACCAACCCATTGACACTGATAAAAAAAAAAATAAACGAAAAGCTAACAAAAGGGTCATATTGCAACACTTTGATACATTGAGGGTACAATATGAAAAATTTAATCTTTGAGAGTATAAAATGAAAAACTTAAAATCTTTCGGGGTGTGAAGTGCAATTTACCCTATTTTTTTCCATTGAAAGCAAAGTGTTGAGATTATTAATTCCCACAGAGAAAACAAATATCTGAAAAATACATTTCTTTTGTTTTTTGGAGAATCTTTTATCAAGGTCTACAAATGTTCACATTTACAAACTAGATTCAGTGACTTAATAAATTAAATGGGCAGATATAACATGAGAATCTGTAATAAAATAGAGACTCACTGTCTAGAAGAAGGCAAACATGCCCAATTGATGTCATCTACTTCCACCAAACAGTAACCTGTTCTCATTGACAAATTTGTAATACTTTTCTTCCCCATAAAGTAGCCTGAAAGAACAAATTAGCAACACAAGATCTGGATTAACGTTCCACACCACATGCACACAGTTTTGATGGTTTAAGGGCAGTGGGTTGTTGGGTCGATCAACAAAATCTCCAAAATAAGAACAGAACATCAAATTACGCAATGTTAAATAAAACCAGTAACCAATGTGTTGACCAACTGCTCTGAGGCTACTAAAATGGAGTGCAACATACCAAAGTGAGCAATTCCAACGACATATAGAACCAAAGTGTTCATTCAATTATGGAGGCTGGATGATTACATAGGTAATATATAAGATAAATAAGATAAGTCATGAATTGCAAACTCAGTTTATAATTCAAAATAAGGTAACATGAAATCATAAACTATAGTGAGAGGTTGGTCTTGGAGAAGCTGCTGTAAAATTCCTTTCTGATGACTACTTCAAAGACAAAAAAGGATCGATAAAATGAATTTATTGGAAGAATTGGAACCAGTATGAAAATTTGAAATCCATGGAAAGCCCATCAGGGTATGCCAAGTTTCGAGGGAATTCAATTCACATGTAAAGCAGAAATGATGATTTTTAGGGGCACTGCAATATACATATCCCCCAATAAACCTTCCAATAGGTCATTTGCTACTACAATGAAGCTAAACAAATTGTGATCAGTGACTGCTAGATGCCAAACATATAGTCCCATACCATAAGATGCCAAGAGAAAGACCTAGCAATACGCGCAATTGTTGCCTTGGCCCAGGGACAAAATTGGGCTACTAAGGAAGGGGTGCCAAGGAAGAGGTCCTATCATCTCTTGCTGGAACAATTAAAAAAAATTAAAAATAGAAAAAAGAAGAAACGATCTGTCAACATTGAGCATCACCTCTACACGGTTTTAGCATTCCTGGGGAAATAATAAGAAATACCAAATGATGCTATTTCATAAAGATAAAAACAAAAGTAGCAACAAAACTGCAGGACCAACCACAAGTCACATCCATATAATACCCATGAAGAGGAGCAATCTAAGGTATAACTTACGCTATATCTGCCAAAGTTTCTGATCTAATCACAGCCTTTCCCTCTGGAAATTCAAGGCAAGAATAATGCATTATCATTTCCTTCAATGTTTGCTTTGTGCTTTTGATGTCATTATCCCATAAGATGCTCTGATAACAGAAGAACACAGAGTGGTAAGCTCAACTATACCTTCCAATCCAAAATATCTGAGAGAAGACACCTGTGTAATAATGTCCCACAGGACTGATTATCATATGATGTCCTTGTTTCAGTTTAAAGGTGAAAAACCATATCCCTTTAACACAACATATTAAGGACAAAAAAGACAATTCCGAGAAGTCAAGGTAAAATACCTTCCTAACATACTCTCTTTTCACATCTTCCCAGGGGATTTTTCCCTTTGGAGAGAAAACCGAAGCATTCCAAAGAGCTCCTCTAGCAACCATAACAGATGAGGCAGCTATGAAAAAAAAAAATGAGCATTTAAAATTTTTGAAAATGAGAAACCAAAACAGACAATAAGTAAAGGAGAGAATGTATCTACCACAAGCATGTTAAGGAACATATCAAGCATACAAGTCAAAAGGCTCCAAATATCATGGAGAGAAAAGGANAATAAGTAAAGGAGAGAATGTATCTACCACAAGCATGTTAAGGAACATATCAAGCATTCAAGTCAAAAGGCTCCAAATATCATGGGAGAGAAAAGGGAAAAAAAGCCTAATTCTCCAAACGACAACAAAAACAAATTCTCATTGCAATACAACAATTGATTCTACAATATATTCACAATTACCACTATTGTACAATGCCAACCCCAATAGGACAAAGTAAGAGTTGTGACAGAAACTATGGGGGATAACAAGTTAACGAAGCTGCAATGTCAAAACTAATAATGGAAGTGGGAACTATCAGAAGACTTTCAGTGGTAAAAGATGCAAAAAACAATCTGTGTGTACAATTTCCACATCATAGCCTCATTTACATTGATCTTGAGAGAACATTAACCTATCTGTAAGAGGTCTGACAGGGCAGCAGAGCAGAGGTACTCTGATATAGTATTAATACATTAATGTCTCAAAGAAATAGTGGCAATTTACTAGTGCTGAAACACCCAGTTCTTCTTCAGCACTTTGTTTGACTTCATTTGGAGATCGAAGTCTGTCCAAGGAAGAAAGATGTCAGCTGAGGTTGGGAGGAAAGAAAAGAAGTTGATGTCCTACTGAAAGAAGATAAGTACATATTCTATGTCCTTTCGACAGATGGCTAACCTCTGTATGCTCCGCCCGATAAGCCGTCTTGGCAGAAGATTAGGAACAAAATATAGCAAGGCCTGCTGATGAGTCCTTGACTGATTGCCATAAGATCTAGTTTAAAAGATCATACATTGACGCCCCAGAATAAAACAAACCATGTTCTAGGACAAGAAGATAAGGAAATCATGCCTAAGAAGACCTCATCAAAGGGTTTTGGCATCTGCAAAGTACAATGACTACAGAGGACCTAGTGGCAGCCAAAAAAGTCATCTTTACTTTTTGGGAACCAACTGTTTTGAAAAGTACATAAAAATTGCGCTCTGGATCAACATTATGCAACCTTGGAGAATAAGTCATAAGCTGAGGTTGGGAAGAAAGAAAAGAAGTCAATGTCCTACTGAAAGAATAAAAGTACATATTCTACGTCCTTTCGACAGAAGGCTAACCTCTGTATGCTCCACCTGATAAGCCGTATTGACAGAAGATTAGAAGCAAAATATAGCAAGGCCTACTGATGGGTCCTTAACGGATTGCCATATGATCTTGTTTAAAAGATCATACACTGACGCCCCTGAATAAAACAAACCATATACTAGGACAAGAAGACAGGGAGAATCATGCCTAAGAACACCTCATAAAAGGGTTTTGGCATCTGCACAGTACAATGACTACAGAGGGCCTAGTGGCAGCCAAAAAAGGTGATCTTTACTTTTTCAGGACCAACTGTTTTGAAGACTATTTTGAAAAGTACATAAAAATTGCCCTCTCTGTATCAACATTTTGCGACCTTAGAGAATAAGTCATACATTCAAACATAAAGAGGTAACATTATATATACACAACTAGGGAAGCTCCATGAGGCTCACTAGATTTAGTAGAACAAATACATAAAAATAGCATTCTGTAGCAACATTTTGCGACCTTGGAGAACAAGTGATACATTCAAACATAAAGAAGCAACATTATACATACACAATAGGGAAGCTCCATGAGGCCAACTAGTTTTAGTAGAACAAATGCAATGCCCTATTTATAAGGATGATTAGCCAACTAAGGAGAAAGCACTAATTTCAAAAAATAGGTTTTGTACAAGAGAGTGGCTAGAATCAAAATTGCCCCTCCTTTCCTATTTGATCAAATATGGCACAAAACATATGAGATCATGAGACCATATATTAACACATGCCTTGAATGGATTCTCTCTGGAATGTAGACTTAGAAACTTTGGGTAGAGCATGCTTTCCCATCCTAATCCCAAATACCTTGCAAAAAGGGTCCTTAAATTCAGAATTGCTTTGAATAAGATGACTACACATGTAAAACTAAGCAATCAAGGATTCCCAGGCCTAAATCATTCCAAAAAGAATATGATGCTTTTAAACAGTATAAATACAGTGCCACAATACTGAAAGCATGATAATTCTAGTTCTTACTATTAGATTACTCAAACATTAATTGATTTAATCCTTTTCTTTCCGTAATAGAAAGTAATAAACGTTGCATTGTTTTATACCTGGTTCACAAAATACCTGTAGAACANTGATAATTCTAGTTCTTACTATTAGATTACTCAAACATTAATTGATTTAATCCTTTTCTTTCCGTAATAGAAAGTAATAAACGTTGCATTGTTTTATACCTGGTTCACAAATACCTGTAGAACAAAGCTATACAAATTTCAATTGTAGCCTGCATCGTATTATACCCNAATACCTGTAGAACAAATAATTTGACTCTGATGTAACTCATTTAAAAATATCAGCTAAGGAAGAAACTTAACACCCCCCCCCCCCGGGCGNAATACCTGTAGAACAAAGCTATACAAATTTCAATTGTAGCCTGCATCGTATTATACCCAATAATTTGACTCTGATGTAACTCATTTAAAAATATCAGCTAAGGAAGAAACTTAACACCCCCCCCCCGGGCANATTGTTTTATACCTGGTTCACAAAATACCTGTAGAACAAATAATTTGACTCTGATGTAACTCATTTAAAAATATCAGCTAAGGAAGAAACTTAACCCCCCCCCCCCGGGCAAGAAAACGAAAAAATAAGACACAATGAGAAGTCTTTTACCTACCAGTCACAGAAGTTATGTGGTGGAAGTCTTCGTACTCAAAGACATCACCATTTGCTATAACTGGAATAGAGAGCGCTGCTACAACTTCTGCAATCTCATTCCACTTAGCAGGATCTCTTGGCCTATCCGCCACTCGCCTGCAATGCACTCAGCAGGAAATATGCAAGTATTCTTAATGGAAAATATTTACAATACACTTAAAGGTCCCAAATTGCTGAATTTTGTCACCAGAACAAAAGGTTCCCCTTTATGAGTTTTCATGCTTTTAATTCCTTTTGGGTGTGGGATCCAAGAGTTCTACAATACNACAATACACTTAAAGGTCCCAAATTGCTGAATTTTGTCACCAGAACAAAAGGTTCCCTTTTATGAGTTTTCATGCTTTTAATTCCTTTTGGGTGTGGGATGCAAGAGTTCTACAATAGGGATGCTAATAATAAACCTCCAGAATAACCCAATTTGTGAAGCCTTCAATTAAGCATTGTCATTTCTCTAATCCAAGACTCTGCTCAGTCCTTGGTATAGAATTTCGATGAGGTGAAAGAAAAGCAAAGAAAAACTTATGGAAACTAAATACAGTACACAGAAATTTATCTGACAACTTTAATTCGCACAAAGCAAAGAAGATGAAAAAAGAAAGAACAAAATCTCTGAATTAGTTACAACCAATCAACACTTTTAACTTCAAGCTGACTTCAATATAAGCATGTTCAAAGTTACAATCTCATCCCCACGGTATTGCAGTGTAAATATTAACAAGGTCATCACCCAATTCAGACCCTACCACTCAACGTCGCCAGATGGCAGATTGTGTCCAGACCTCATTTTTTGCATGCAGCACCTGCCCTTATATTCAAGAATGCAGACTCACAGTTTTCAGCCAATGCACCATGCACCAAGCAACGACAACCCAATATCACAAGCTCACCACCGGGTCATACCCTTTATTTGTTTTGTGCTTTCCTAACGTCAGTTTGACGGGGGACACAGAGTTTAATTTCAGAGCAGTCACCATTTCAGAAGCTATCTGATCTAAATGATGCTAGTTTTGTTTATCTAACTTTTTAGAGCAGAGTGTAATATCTAACTTGAATCAAACTAATTTCTTGATGGAATACCAACAGAAGTGAAAGAATCAAACTTTCGCTCTATGTTCAATCTTGCAAAGAAACTATACAACTTTAAACATATTGTTACCTTCCATGGACCGCGAGGGCAGAAACACCAGTTTTCTCAATTCGCCGTGCTAATTCTATTGTATCCTGTGATGATTTCAGTAATCGAATCTTACAAGTTACTGGTGTGTCCAAATTCCGCTTTAATGTTGTCAAAATCTGGATTCAGAAGACAATACATCTGAACAATCAAGCAGGGAAAGCAAACATGCCAAAGGGAGAAAAAGATTGCATGATTTCTATTGCATACATCATGAATGAGATCTGGTTTAGCCAACAGCGCAGCACCCATTCCTCCACTAATGGAAAACGATTTGGGACAACCCATATTGATATCTATTGCAGCAACATCTTTACACCTGAAACAGGAGGCGCCTTGTCAAATTTTTAATTTCAAGGTAGCAAAACTTGGGCACATGTCAATACCGATCCAGGGAGTAGGATTCTAGGATCCAATGATCCCGTACAGGCAAATCAATTTGAGTATCTTGAAAAATCTTTGGTTCTTACAATCTTAATGGATTGAGAACCGGATCATGTAGGATCGTAGAATCCCAATCCCAATTGCGATTTTACGCTTCAAGCTGTTAGATCTATTGCTTAGGTGCCTTCAGTTATTGAGCTGGTAGTCAATATTTATTGATTTATGCTGGTAGACAACTCCTGGAAATCCGCCCTAAAAGCACAAATCAACTCTCACTTCACAAACTCTATTGAATGCAATAGTACCCAACTCTTGACCACGTATATGGTATCAACAATGATCACAAAGACATCACTAAATTTTTCCAAAACATGACCACTTTAGATCACATTAAAACTACATTGTCAGACTATTAGCATAGGACAGGTATATTCCATAAATACAACTACAATTTATTCATAATAAGGAAGCCTTGGTAGTTCTAACGGCTTTCCCAAGCCCTGATGGACCTAACCCTACAAATAATGCTTGGTGACCATGAAGAAGCCATGCCTCGTTGCAGATACAGCAAAGCATACTTGCCTCTACCTTCTAATAGACAAAAAAGAACAAAATTTTGGACCAAAGCAACCACTACAGTAGTTATTTTGTGAAATCATTGTTCTGCAAAAGAACCAGATAGTTGATGGTTATACTGAAGGCAATAAGTTGCAACGTATTAACAAAAAAATCTCTAGTGCTTAATTCAAAAAAACACTGAAAAATATTTATATATAGTAATTAGATCGATTAGTAATCAGTTTTTATGAAGGGATCTAAACCCTGGTACTCACTTCAAAATAGCCACCAAAAGAGAAGCCTCATGTATTCTGGTTTAAATATCTCATGCAAAAATTAAAAGAAAAAAAACCAATTGAAAAAGAAACTTACACTATCTGAGCCGCGGCAAGAGCCCTCAAAGGATCAGAAGTTCCCATCTGAAATACTACCCTATTTCTTTCTTCCTTGCAAGTTCTGAAAACAACATTCTCTGTTCCCTTCTCCACAATGTCAGTAGAACCAACGACATCTAGCAAATAAAAATGTAAAATGAGTTTCAAAAAATTTGGGAACCCCAAAAGCATGAATTATTGTTTGGCCATTACGTAATGAACTAATTTTCTAGTGAATGGCCAGTGGCATAACATATACTTATTTAAGTCATCATTAACATGTTGATTTATATGACTTTGGAGCTAGTTTAGAGAAAAATATATTGAAAACACGCAAACCGTTTGATATGATCCCACATTGGTAGATGTGTGTATATAAACTCTTAGACACTCTTTCTTTGCAAGTTTTTTAGAAAATAAGTTATACCACGAATTCATAACAATTAGTATCAAAACTAGCTACCACTCGGAGTATAGAATCGTACACATTATGGGTTTCGGCTCTTCTGGTCGAGTCAGGGAATAGGTGTATTATGGGCATCGGCTCTTCTGGTCGAGTCAGGGAAGAGGTGTATTAATATTATGTATGAGCATAGTAACGTCTCATTGAATACATAGTTTTGACTCTGTTCCTATACAAATCAGTTTTCAGTGGTAAGTTCTACACATACCCGCAGGTTCATAACACCGTACAACAGAAATACTAATAAACAAAAGTTTTGAGCATAAATTGAAATACCATTGATTCGACGCTCGCATTTGAGAAGTTTATGATCGATAATCTCCTCCCCATATGTTATGTCTGCACCGTATTCAGCCGCAAGTAACCTAAATGGCAACGTGCCCTGATAACGAATTCTATGAGCTTCGGCTATTACAAAATTGGGAAGCTTTAAACCCTAGATTGGTAAACTACGAAGTAGTAGCAAAAGAGAGTAGGAGAAAGAAAGAGACAGAGGTCTACGACTTACCACTCGAACCATTGGGGCAAGGACTAGCTTGTCTCTGTACTCCATGTTCTTTGCCCAACAAATCACGCGGCAGAGATCAGACTCATCAGAGGTCTATGAAGATTGCCTTTGTGTCGCCCAGTTCGACTTCCGACGCTAGGATATTTTTCTTTTGCTCTACTAGGATGCTAGAATTTTTATACTGACACAGTTTGCATTGGGCTATGTGATGGGCCGTTTATGAGAAAAAATAGAGTGGGAGGCAAAACTTCCAAAACAATTGGAGGGCGCATGATTTTTATGGGGTCAATTACAAATTCATTTTGTATGCCGAGGATTCATCATGTTAATAAATAATAACAAAAATTAATGTAAAAATTACATTGCAATTATTTTATGATGTTGAGAGTATAATGTAAAAAAATTAATCTTTGAGGTTATAAGTTGGTAGTTTTAATTTTTTGATTAATTACATTGGAGGTCTCCACAATATAGGATTTGTCTCATTTTTGTCTCCAATATTTTAATTGTATTATTTTAATTTTTAAAACATTGAATATGTTTCTATATGGCCTTTCAAATAGACAATATTCAAATTACTAAAGATTTTTTATCAAAAAATTATTATATGATACCTAAATATAGGTAAAAACAATTTGGATAGTTCTTAACCTAAATTTAAATAATTTATGATCAAAACTATATAATTTAGGTAATTCTTTGACCAAAATTTGATCAATAGTTATTCAATTTATTTTTTTGTCATATTTAGATATTACGTAACAAGTTTATAATAAAAAATTGTTATCAATTTGAATATTGTCTATTTAAAGGATTACATATAAACATATTTAATAATTCATAAATCAAAATATGAAATTAAAATATTAGAAATAAAATAAAATAAATCTCATATTTTGGAGACTTTCGGGGGTCTAACTCGTCTGCGATAAGGGATCAACCGCATGACATGCAGTTAAGCGGAACGACGGTGTTTCACTGGCTTTTGTAAATTTTTGTTTTTAATTCAGCCTTACCAAAACGACGTCATTTGGTCCAACTAATCCACTTCAGCAGACAAGCCTTTTCTTTCTCCCGCTTCTTCTTCGTCAAACTGGGTCTAGTTCTCTCGCATTCTTCACAGCTCAATCTCCATCTTCTTCTTCACAGCTCACGCCAAAAGCTCAGTGCACTTTTGCAGTGAAGCAGTAGACTGCCTTTTATCCTGGTTTGTTTTGCTTTTTCAAGACTCTTATAAAACCAAGGTGGTGTTGGAAAATCTTATCATTTCCTTGGCTTTAACTTTTGTTGAAAGCATTTTTTAAAAAATCTGCCAACATTTAACATACTTTTATGTCTCCCTTTAAAATCCATCCCCATTGGTTCTATATTGGAATTTGCAGAGGGTTTTGTCTACATGTTTTGGAGGGGATTAATAATCCTTTCATGGATAAGAGCTCTATTTGCAACTCTAAAAATCCGTCATTCTATTATGGAGTGTAATTGAATGCGGATAAACATATTACTAATATTTTTTGGACCGACCCAGTGATGATTATTGATTATGTCAACTTTGGAGATATTGTCTCGTTTGACATTACTTTCAAAACGAACAAGGAGTATCGACCATTTGCTTGTTTTACTGGCTTCAATCATGTCAGGGAGACAGTCTTATTTGGAGCTGCATTATTGTATGATGAAATGACAGCATCATTTTCAGCGGTTGTTTGAGGCATTCCTACAAGCTATGTCTAGAAAATATCCTATTACGATTTTCACGGACCAA